GGGAATATCTGGGAATGTGGGAATGGGAATGGGAATCCAGGCTGGGAGGAGCACGTCAACAGGTGGGAGTGCGGGAATATCTGGGAATGTGGGAATGGGAATGGGAATGGGAATCCAGGCTGGGAGGAGCACGTCAACAGGTGGGAGTGCGGGAATATCTGGGAATATCTGGGAATGTGGGAATGGGAATCCAGACTGGGAGGAGCACGTCAACAGGTGGGAATGGGAACGGGAATCTGGGAATATCTGGGAATGTGGGAATCTGGGCTGGGAGGAGCACGTCAACAGGTGGGAATGCGGGAATATCTGGGAATGTGGGAATCTGGGAATGTGGGCTGGGAATCTGGGAATGGGAATGTGGGCTGGGAGGAGCACATCAACAGGTGGGAATCTGAGAATGGGAATGTGGGCTAGGAATGGGAATCCAGGCTGGGAATGTGGGAATGTGGTCTGGGAATGGGAATCCAGGCTGGGAGCACCAAAGAAAGGGGATCCAGGAGGATCACGTGAACGGCCGGGGCGGCGATTGCGGAGAGGAGGAGGAGCCAGGAGGGGTTTGGCTGTTTGGGTGACCCCCGTGTGTCTGTGTGTGTGTGTGTGTCTGTCTGTGTGTGTGTCTGTGTCTGTGTGTGTGTGTCTGTCTGTCCGTGTGTGTGTCCGTGTGTCCGTCTGTCCCGCAGGACGGGCTGGAGCATGGCTCAGAACAAGCTGTTCAACAAGATCCACAAAGCTCTGCAGTCGGACCGGCTGGCCCGGCTGGCCAACGAGGGGGTGAGAGGGGCTGGGGCCTTGGGAATTCCGGGCGGGAATCGTGGCCTCCGGGTGTTCTTTGGGCTCCTGGGAGCCGTGGGATCACCAAGTGGCCTGGGTGGATCATCAGTGCAAGCACGGGGCCTGCAGGGACACCCCAAATTATCACTGGGGACCCTGCAGGGACACCCCAAATTATCACCCTGGGACCCTGCAGGGACACCCCAAATTATCACTGGGGACCCTGCAGGGACACCCCAAATTATCACTCTGGGACCCTGCAGGGACACCCCAAATTATCACTGGGGGGGTTGAACCTTCCCCAAAACCCCAAAATCCACCCCAAACCCCCCTGTCCCAGCCCCATTCCCCTGAACTTTGGGAATCCCCCAGAACTTTTGAATCCCCCTGAACTTTGGGAATCCCCCTGAACTTTTGGAATCCCCCAGAACTTGGAGAATCCCCCAGAGCTTCAGGAATCCCCCTGAACTTTGGGAATCCCCCTGAACTTTTGGAATCCCCCAGAACTTTGGGAATCCCCCTGAACTTTGGGAATCCCCTGAACTTTGGGAATCCCCCTGAACTTTGGGAATCCCCCCGAACTTTGGGAATCCCCCTGAACTTTGGGAATCCCCCCGAACTTTTGAATCCCCCTGAACTTTTGGAATCCCCCAGAACTTGGAGAATCCCCCAGAGCTTCGGGAATCCCCCAGAACTTTGGGAATCCCCCTTTCCAGGCCTGCAACGAGCCGGTGCTGCGCCGGATCGCGGTGGATAAATGCGCCCGCCGCGTGCGCCAGGCCCTGGCCAGCGTCAACTGGGACACCAAACTCATCCAGTGGCTCCACACCACGCTGGTGGAGACCCTCAGCCTGCCCGTGCTGGCTGCTTACCTGGACGCCCTGCAGACCCTGAAAGGAAAGGTGATGGATGGTTTTTTCCAGGGGTTGGGGTTGTTCTCGGGTGGTTTTGGGGGTGTTTTTTTCACTCCTGACTGGGTGTTGCTGGCAGATTCCCGCGTTGATCGATAGGATGTTGGTGTCCTCCACGGCCAAGACGGGAGCGGCGGGGGCTGAGGCGCTGTCACTGCTGCTCAAGAGGCCCTGGGACCCGGCTGTGGGTGTTCTGTCCCATAATAAACCTGTGAGTGCTCCTGGGGGGGTTCTGGGGGTCCCACGGAGCTTTGGGGTTCTCATCCTCTTCCTCTCTCCTCTCCCTGGGTTCTTGTGCTTTGTTGCTGCTCCCTCAGAGGAGTTTGGGCATCGCCAGGATCGTGGAACCAGCCCCTGGTCCTGCTCAGACACCCCAAAAATCACCCTGGGACCCTGCAGGGACACCCCAAAAATCACCCTGGGACCCTGCAGGGACACCCCGAATTATCCCTGGGGACCCTGCAGGGACACCCCAAATTCCCACCCTGGGGACCCTGCAGGGACACCCCAAATTATCACTGGGGACCCTGCACAGACACCCCAAATTATCACTGGGGACCCTGCAGGGACACCCCAAATTATCACTGGGGACCCTGCACAGACACCCCAAATTCCCACCCTGGGCCTGGGAGGTTTTTCCTGGGAAATTCCTGGGGTTTGGAGGTTTTTCCTGGGAAATTCCTGGGGCAGGGAGGTTTTTCCTGGGAAATTCCTGGGGTTTGGAGGTTTTTCCTGGGAAATTCCTGGGGTTTGGAGGTGTTTTTCCTGGGAAATTCCTGGGGTTTGGAGGTGTTTTTCCTGGGAAATTCCTGGGGTTTGGAGGTTTTTTCCTGGGAAAACGCTGTTCCTGAGCCGGCTGTTTTGCAGAGCAAACTGCCGGGCTCGCCGCTGATCCTCATCGCGTCCTCCGGCCCCGCCAGCTCCGTGTTCCCCACGTCCCGACGGCAGCGCTTCTGGCAGTCGCAGCTCTCCTGCCTGGGGAAGGTCTGTGGGCTGGAGCTGTGGGGCTGGAGCTGTGGGGCTGGAGCTGTGGGGCTGGGTGTGTGGGGTGGATTTATGGGGCTGGGTGTGTGAGGCTGGATGTGTGGGGTGGATTTGTGGGGCTGGAGCTGTGGGGCTGGGTGTTTGGGGCTGGGTGT